GTCCTCCCCCCGCTGCCCCCCCACTCCTTTCCCAGGGATGCAACGGCCACAGCACCGCTAGAGGGCGGCGGGCACTGACCGCGAGCCTCAGGCCAGCCCACTGGAGGTATGCAGCCAGGGAGCCAGGGAGAGACGAGCCAGATGGACAGCGGGGGGCTCAGAGAGGTCGAGTCAGTCCTTCCAGGCCACAGAGCCAGTGAGGGGCCCAGGCCAGGACTCACCTGCCTTGTCACTCACAGCCCACCCACCCTCCCACCACCACTGCACCCCCTCGTCGTCCTGCTGCTGTGGCCTGGAGTGTGGGGTCCCCAGGCCAGGAGCACACTTGTCACTGGGTGACTGGGGTCCGGGAACCCTGAGTCCCCTCCCAGTGCGTCTGGTGGTCTCTCCATGAGGGGTCAAGCTCAGCACTGCGTCCTCTGCAGCCTGCTGGCCAGCTCTGTGCCCGAAGCCCCGTCTCCATCAGGGAGAGGCGGCCTCCTGGGCGGGCAGAGCACAGCCAGGTCTTTGTAAAACCCACGCCTGTGTCTTCGGGGTCAGGACCACTTTCCTTGCTGGCATCCAGGACACTACACAGCCATGTCACCTCGGGGTCACCCCCTTAACTCGCCCGAGGGGCCTCTGTACCCCATGTGTCATCTCTGGGGCCTCTCCCACCCGCTCCGCGCGCCCTGCCCATGGGGCCTCTGCCCACGCTGTCCCGTGGCTCACGGTGTGGCCCGTGGCGGCGGCGGTGCCGCTCCAGGGCCTCCCAGCTCTCCTCTGGCCTCGGCGGGACCTGCTCCCCTGCTGGTCACGGCGGCGCCTACGGAGGCGACCCGATCCTCAGGGAGCAGCTGTCCCTGCCGCCTCCGGCATCCCTGGGCCCTGAGTGCGTGCAATGGCCCACAGGGACCGTGGCGGGCTAAGAAGTGCACGTCCTGACTGGGCCTCCGTCTCCGGGCTCCCCCAAAGGCCTGGACTGTCTGCTGCTCTTGGGCGCCTAGTTACCCCGAGAGCCTGGAGTTCAAAAAATGAGGTTTCCTTGCTACTCACTCATCCCCAGGGGCGATGGCCACACCCTCACACCCCCATCTGGATCCTCTCCTAGCCCCACCCAGCCCCCCATCGGGCTCCAAAGTGTCCTTGCCAGAACTGTGTGGGCTGCCAGGGAGAGGTGGGCAGGGAACTGAGTCTGGAGTGCTGTCGGCTATGGGGCACCTGAGCATCTGGAGGTAGAAGGTGCACCCCAATATTCAAATGATGTGCTGGGCCCCCTGCAGCAGCTTGACGAGCAGCCTCAGCAGCGGGGAGGTGGGGGGGGGCCCTCCTAGTGCCTGGGACGGGGCTGCCCAGCACTGCAGCTGGAGCTTGTAATCCAAGGCGAAAGCTGAGGGCCTCTGCCTCCCCTCCCCCTTGTCTACCTGCTTGGACCCAGCACCACCCAGGGACCCCCACCATCCCTGCAGCCCCCCACTGGAGGCCCTCACCCTGGCAGCCACTGGGGCCTCCCTCAGCGCCTTGCAGTCAGGGTTCTGCCCTGGCCAAAGAGCCCACGGAGCCCTGAGGACTCAGAGGACCCCCCTCAAGCCCCTCTTCTCTGGAACGCGTCTCCAAAAAGAGGGGTCTGGAACAGCCATGGCCCGAATCACTGTCTCTGGAAAGCACCTCAGCCCCAAAGCGTCCTGCGAAGATGTCTGCCTCTCCACCTAGGTGTGGCTGCTTCTTGGTGGGAAGGGGGCGTCCAAGGCCCTGCAAACCACAGCGGGGTGGGAGCTCAGCCCAGCTGCTGGAGGAGTGGCCCTGCTGCTGAAACCGAGGCGGGGGAGCGGGGGAGGAGTGATGGCCCCAGGTCCTGGTCAGGGCCCTTGAATGGCCAGACTTAGCACCATGGACCTATCTGATCGATGGGTTCGCATCCCAGCACCTGGGGGCAGCCAGGGACCACCTGCCCTTGGAAGGCCCCCTGAAGCTGTCCTAGGACTGGGGCTGGGAGGGGCTGGCATCCAGTTCTGCTAGGGTGGGTTCTCTCCCTATGCCCCTCAGGGGTCTCTCGGTCCGCTTGCAGAGGGGCCGTGTCTCACAATGGCTGAGTCCAGGTCTCAGTAGAGGGTGGGTCAGGGGCCTTTTCCAGCCAGGTGAGGCGGTGTGGCTGCAGCGGAAGCACTTCTGGGAACAGAGGATGGCCTCTAGACCCTTATCTGAGGTTGAACAGAGACTGGATTCCGACCCCAGGGGGAGGAGTTGTGGTTTTCCGGAGCAGCTGGAGGGCCCCTCTGGTTGGGGGGGGGGGGTTCCTCGGGGGGTAGCGT